TCCGTTCGGTCTGGCGGAGTGGGGCGGACACTTGTAAATAAATGACTTGTGGCTTTTGCTGTCAACTCTTTTTCAGACCTACTGTCTGCTTGTTGTGACTACAGGAGCTCCCTAAAGTTAGGAGAGAGGCTGGTTTGGAATTTGGTGCTGTTTTGTTATGTTTTGTAGAACTTGAGTCACATGGATCACTGCGTAGCCAGGCTGGCCTGCAGGGGCCCAGATACCAAGCACTTTGCAAGGGTTTCCAGCTGCACCAGGGCTCCCGGGTGTTTCAGGAACAGAAACTTTAAGGACGTGCCTCTCCTTACTGCAGGGAGCTGTGCTCAAGTCTTCTGGAGCTGCCAGCCGGGTTCGGAAGGAGCGGGGCTCAGAGTGGCTGCTCCAAGACCTCTCCTAAGTGCTGAATACAGCTCTTGAGGAAAATTGGCCGTGTGGAGCTAGAGGGCAGGAGGGCTTCCCCGCAGACCAGGCTGCTGAGGAGGTGGGGTTGGGCCAGTGCACCCAGGCAGGTAGGAGGCCCTAGAACATTTTGCAAAAAAAGGCAGCTGACTTCAGAGCTTCTTGATAGAAAGAGGGAGCTGGAACTGCCGGGGGTGTGTGTGCTAGTCACCCAGGGAGGCGGCAGGGACAGTCAGGATCCAGAACCGCCTTCCTTTCCCGGCTCCCAGCGTCAGGCAGCACAGGCGCCTGCCCACACCAGCAGAGCTCTGCCGACTTCTCTTGTGAGGGTGCCACGGGTGCTGCTCCTGCTCTTGCTCTGTCACACTGTGCTGTGACAGTTTGGTGGGGCAGCCTCCCAACGGGACTTCCTGCTTGTGAGCACATACTGGTGGGTGTGTGTTTCTGCTCTGCATCTCCCAGTAAGTTGCTGAGAGCCATCAGGCTTGTCTTGGTCTCACTTTAGAAAACGTTTTTAGTGGAGTTCGGGCCCCTTCACCCACCTTCACCCTGACGCGGACCACAGCATTCTGGTTTCCTCATCTGTACAAATCAACATTTGCTCTTTTTTCCCCAAATATCTTTTCTTAAGCTGTAGTTCTCAAAACACAGGACTACACCGAAGTGTAGAAGCATCTTTCCTGTAAGGCCCCCTCACCTGCCGATGCTTTCTTGGCAGGGCTGACAATTCTAGCTCCGTGGTCCTGCAGGAGCCCTTCACACAGCCTTTGTCTTCAGGTTTCCTCCTGGCTCTCCTGCCAGCTTTGCTTTCTGACTGTTCTCTTGCTGCCTCTAACTCTCTCGATTTCTGGTCAGGTGCCGCTACGGCGCGTGTGCAGATGGGCACAGAAAGCGTAAAGGCTCATGTGTTTCCTTTAAAAAGTTTGCTGATGGGCTGATTCCTTACCCTCCGAGAGCTCCCGAACCACAAGCAGTTTCCTTCCCCAGAGTAGGTTTTCTTGCGGTGGGAGTGTCCCAGTGTGGGGCAGGCACCCTGCTCCAGCACGCAGGCAGAAGGGCTGTAGGGAGGGCAGGAGGCCTCTTGGCGCAGCTGTGCGGAGGAGCTCGCAGGAATTCCTTGGAGCCCAGCAGGACCTGTTGGCTGTCACACTTGGGGGACAGCCCAAGCAGTGAGCCGCATCTGCAGGTCTCAAGACTGCCTGGAAGGCCTTTGTAAGGCAGTTTTCACCTGGTTAAGATACTAACAGGTCTTGGTGGGGGCCTGGCCTGCTGGCCTTGTACATCTCTGAGACGTTGGCTTGTCCTGGCTCCTGGTGTGTGCAGGACGCCCAGGCAGGAGTGACATGTCCGAGGAGCCGCTGTGGACCGGTGTCCACGTTGGCAGTCCCAGTCCCAGCTGCCTCCGCGAGGCTGTTGACACCGCACATCCACTGCCCTCAGCCGCTTCATCCGCCTGAGAAGCTGCTCAGCACCAGCCCTCGGGCAGATGCTGGCAGGAACTTCCTGTGGGAGAAGTGGGCGCTGTTCGCGGCTGCTGGCTCTCCGCACACCAGGGTGGCAGTCACCGGAAACTAGGCCGCCAGCCGCACCCCACCTCGAGGATGCTTGGTTCTGCCTCCTGCTCCTCAGGGGTGGGACATGGGGCCGGCTGGGCTGCCCTGCTGGTGGGGCTGGGTTCCCTCTTGAGTGTCCCTGTGTCCTGCTGGGGGAGAACGAGGGAGCTGGTCCCCCGACCAAGCTCCTGGGCGTCTTCTCAGGGACGCCCTTCCCAGCCTTTGCACTGAGCAGGTGGCTGTGGGTCAGCCGCGACCTTGCGTGGCCCCACCCTCTGCTTGGAGACAGAAGTCACATGCCCACATGCCCTACAATTCGCTCATTTGCAGTGTACCGCCCAGGGGTTTCTCGCGTGTTCACAGCCACCACCCCAGACACCCCAGGACCCATCCCAGCCCCCCACAGCCCCGGCAGCCACTGACCTGCTGCCTCTGGGTTTGTCTTTGCTGGACAAACGCTGGCATTTTGTATAGGTGGACCCCACAATATACGGTCTTCCGTGTTCGGCTTCTACTCAGCATCCTGTTCTCACGGCCTCCCCACCTGTCGTGGCGTCAGAGCCTCTTTGCTCCTTTCTGTGGCTGAATGACCTTCAGTGGTTGTGACAGCACATTGGTTTGCCCGTCCGTGCGCCAAAGGACACCGGGGCTGCCCCCACCTGTGATGAGAACACCTGTGGGCAGGTCTTCCCGCCCCGCCACGGGGACTGTCCTGCCAGCACCTTGCTCAGTGGTGGGCTGAGGTGAGAGGCCGCCCAGCTGTCAGGCAGGGACAGGGTTGGGTGTAGAGACGCTCTCTGGGGCGCTGGGGGGCAGGTGTCTCCCTTGGAAACCTGCCTGGTGAGACCTCACCATGTTTGGATGAGGTAAGTGACAAGCGAGGCCGCTTTGCTCTGCAGGGAAAGGTGTGTCAGGAACTTTCGTTTTCTGACAGGTCCCAGGTCTTAGCGTGAATCTTGCCTTCACGCAAGCCGAGCGCGGGAGCAACCAGCCAGGCGGCGGCTCCACTGGAAACGAGCGCGTGGGGAGAGGGCTGAGGCGCCCCCACCGCCGCCCTTCCTCCTCGCCAGCGTGGCCTTGTCTTGAGGGGGGCGTGCAGACTTCTTGGTGGCCCCTCAGTCCAGTGGAGCATCCGCGAGTCCAGCTCATTCTCGCGTCCTGCCCACTGGCCAGCCTGCCGGCGGGGCACAGGGTGGGGTGAAGCCGTGTGCAGCCAACGGCAGGTTCTCGACATCTGCAGAGCGGCATCTTTCTGTGGGTTCTGGGCCAGTGCCCCTCACCCGCCCCACTGAGCGCCTTCCTAGGGGCTGTGGGCTCCGCCTCCGTGTGCGTGTCCCACGGCGCCACTCCTCAGGCTGCAGGCGCCGCTCCTCAGGCTGCACAGGGGCCGGCCCGCGCAAGCTGCTTTCCCTCTTTGCGCCACGGGGCTTTGTGCCGGCGTCCCTGCTGCCTGGGTCTCCTCCCGCGCGTGGTCGCGGAGTGGGTGGCGGTTGTGAGTGCCGCTGGGAGGGCGTGACCTGCGAGGCCAGGAGACTCCGCTGCCGGAGCCCAGCACGCGTAGGACGCTGCCGTCACGGCGTCGGTGTCTCCGGGGCACGGGGCCAAGAGCTCGGGGCCCGCAGAGCCTCAGGCACCCGAGCCTGTGCCAGGGCCTGCGCTGCGCTCGCTGAGCCTCTGCCCAGACGGAGCCGGAGCCCCTCCTGCCTGGGAGCTGTCCCGGGGCTGGTGACCGTCCTGGGGCCTGAGGGTGCGCTGCCTCCCGGCCAGCTCTGGCCCTGCCTTGTCCCTGGGCCCGGCGGTTTCCTTTCCCCTGACTACCAGTGATTTCACTCCCCATAGCGCAGCACTCGTAGAGTTCCCGGGGTCCCCCTGGGCTGTCCCCACACCCCTAGAGCCTGGTGCGGCAGAGCCAGGCCCCAGCCCGTGGGAGCTCTTTCTGGGCCGACACCGTGCTGGGGGCCGGAGCTACAGCTGTGCCCACGCCAGAGGACAGCAGGGTCCTGCTGCCGGGAGGCAGCCGCGTCCCCTCTTAGCCCAGGGGGTCTGTCCAGCCGGCAGGCCTTGGACACAGCAGTAACTGTCTCCAGAAACACTGACGGTGGCGGAGGGGCTGTCCCCTCCCGTCCCGAGCGTGCGAGGGCAGGGGAGGGGGCCTGAGCAAGCCCTGAGCCTCCAGCTGCCGCTCACGCCCGCCCGCCCGTGTCCCCTGCAGGTTCTGCGGAGAGTGCCTCCAGCCCTGCCTGCAGGTGCCGTCGCCCCTGTGCCCCCTCTGCCGCCTGCCCTTCGACCCCAAGAAGGTGGACAAGGCCACCCACGTGGAAAAGCAGCTCTCATCCTACAAGGCGCCCTGCCGGGGCTGCAGCAAGAAGGTAGCCGCTCACTCAGGCCTCCCTGGGGCCGGGGAGGGAGCTTCGAATGGGGCAGCTCTGGCCACGGGTTCCGCTTTCCAGCAGGGGAACGGGCGGGTGTGTCGTCGGCCGCCTCCCTTTCCTGTTGGGCAAGGAGCTGCTCTGCCCCTGCGTGAGGCGGCCCACCCAGGCCCCTCCATCCCTGTCCCGCCATCTCTTGCTTCCTGTTGTGACAGCTGAGAGCCAGGGAGGGCCCCACGGGTGGGCCCTGGCACTGCGGGCATCGCGGCCATTGCAGGGAGCCCAGGGCGGAGCTGAAACCCCCAGGTGCAGCCTCAGCGCTTGGTGCCTCACCTGCCAGCCGCCACTGCAGGCTGTGACAGGCGGGGGTGGGGCATGGGGACAGCTCTTGGGGTCTCTGAGGCAGAGGCGGAGCCACAGGCAGAGTCGAGGGCGTCGCCAGCGCCAAGCCCAGTTGATGGGGCGCTGCCGCCCCCGAGCCCACCCGCACCCAGCAGCCTCCCCGACGCGCATGCTGCTCACCTCAGGGTGGGGAGGCCCTGGCCAGCGTCCCCTCGTCTCAGCAGCTTCTGTGGCCTGAGCAGCCGGGGGCTGTTGAATTTACGTCTCCGCCTTGGCTGTGTCTCGGGTCGATGAGATCCGCGGTGCCGTCGCCGTGGGGGGCAGCCCCTGTTGCTCTGTCCCAAGGTGGAGGTGTCCAGGGCTGCCCGGGGCCCTAGCGCCTCCCCGTCTGCTCCCTGGCCCAGCTCCTCTCCCCGGGGGGGACAGACATCGGGATCCTCGTGTCACTCGGGGGCCAGCCGGCCCCCACCACAGCCTCTCCGTCCTCCAGCCTGGCCCTGTGCCAGGCCTCTCAGGGTCTGGCAGCCCGGGGCAGGATCGGTACCGTGCTGGCGTCCAGAGGGGCCCTTGGCAGTGACCCCGGGAGGACCTGTTACCCTGGACGCCCGAGTGGCGCTGTCTGCGGAAGCCTGCCCCGTGCTCACGGAAGCAGGTGTCCCTCACTCTCCCCTCAGCTCTGCAAGATGTTTTTCCTGAGCCTTGTGGCTTTCGCTAAGTGGCAGGACTTGGCGGCCTCCATCCCCCAGGGAGGGTTGGCCACGGCCTCTTCATCGTTTATCTAAACCGTGCCGAGTTACCTGTCCCCAGGCACCAGAGCACCTTTGCCCCCTTCCATGTGCCCTGGGTCAGGTCGCGCTGCCAGGACTCAGGGTTGGCCTGGGCATAGTTTCATCGTGTTGTGTTTTTCACACCTGCTCAGGAGTTGCATCAATAGAGTTTTTCCTGGTGGTTCACATTAGAAGGAATGTTTTTCCCTAAGAAACGCCCCTTCCCGCGTGACGCTTCCATGGCACTGGCTCCGAGCAGCCCAGCTCAAGGGCTGTGGCCACTCTGCTCCGCGTAGCTCAGCAGCGGGTCTCCGGGCGCTGTGGCTCCGTCACCCGGCGGCTGTTCCCCACCTGGCCCCCCGCAAGGTCTCTCCCAGAAGCCCTGTTTGCAGGCTGCTGCTTGGCGCCTTTGATTGTTTTGGGAGGAGGAACTGGGTCCCCTCGCCGCAGGGGACACAAACGCTTGCTTTTGTCTGTCCTGGATGCCTGAGGCTCGGCCCCCCCAGGGCTGCCCTTCTGGGCCCTCAGGACGGCCTTGCCCTCCTGCCTGCCGCAGGTGACCCTGGCCAAGATGAGAGTGCACGTGTCCTCCTGCCTGAAGGTCCAGGAGCAGATGGCCAACTGCCCCAAGTTCGCCCCTGTGGTGCCCACGTCCCAGCCCATCCCCAGGTAGGAGCCGCTGGGGGAGGGGAGGCCGAGGCCCTCGGCTGGCCAGGTCCCCACGGGGGTCCTCGCCAGACTGCAGGAGGGGCCTGTGGAAGCCATGCCGTGGGGCCGGGGACTCCTGGGGTGCTGGGAGCCAAGAGGAGGGCTCAGCCCAGGCCTCTGCCGCCGCTCACCCTCCCCCGCCCCGCCAGCAACATCCCCAACAGGTCCACCTTCGCCTGCCCGTACTGCGGCGCCCGCAACCTGGACCAGCAGGAGCTGCTGAAGCACTGCGTGGAGAGCCACCGCAGCGACCCCAACCGCGTGGTGAGTGGCCGCCGGCCGGGGAGCCCCCTCCTCCTGCCCCGGCATCACCTGGCGGGGGCCGATGAGCATCTGCGTCCTCGGGGTGACGATCGCACGGCAGGGTCCGGCGCACCTTCCCACACTGGGCAGCGCTGACCGGGGCGCTCAGCCTGAGGGGCACGGGCCCTGGGAGCACCCCCATCCTGCTGCGCGGAGCTGCCCCGCCCTGTGCCCCTCCCCCAGTTCAGCGTGTCCCCGGCGCCCCGTTCCAGGTCTGCCCCATCTGCTCGGCGATGCCCTGGGGTGACCCCAGCTACAAGAGCGCCAACTTCTTGCAGCACCTGCTCCACCGGCACAAGTTCTCCTACGACACCTTCGTGGTGGGTGTCCCGCCCTCGGGCGGGGGCTGCCTCCCCACCCCGTCCCCCCACCCTCCTGCCAGCCTTGGGGTCCCAGCGTTCAGGGAGAGCTGGGAACACACAAGCTTGCAGTGAGGCTGCACCCTGGTCTGGGTGCCACGGCGGGGCATGACGGCAGCCGGGCACCCGGCCTCAAGGGCACTGGCTCCGCACAGAGCAGGTCCTGCCTTCCGGTTTGTTCCGGTTTGCTCCTTGGCTTCCCGGCTGCCCAGCCCACAGACCCCCCACCTCGGATGAGCCAGGCTTCTTCCTGGGAGTTTTCTGGACAGATCTGGGGGGACTTTCACCCCCTCCGAACACTCCACCTCTGTCTCCCGTCCCACCCGCAGTGGGTAGAAGGTGCCAGTCCCCCAGGCCGGCAGACCAGGCCTGGCCCTGTGGACTCCTGGGCCTGTCCGACGGCCTTGGTGACGGCTTCATCCCCGCCCTGTGTGCCAGCCTCCCAGCTCACACTCCCGTCTGCCCCAGGTCCACATGGCTGTAGGTCACGGAGCCCTGGCTGGCCTGCTCATCCCAAGTCCCCCGTCCTTGAGTCCGAGCTGGAAGCACAGCTCTCTGTACCCCGCGTCCACCCCACACACCTGGTGCATGGTCGCTGGGCCCTCAGGGAACCAGCTCGAGGAGGGAACTCAGGCAGAGCCAGGTGACAGTCCCACGTGCTGACGGTGCTTTGACTCCCTCAGGGGACTGTGCGGGCCCTGTGCCGTGGGACACAGGACCAGGTCCTGCCCTGCTGGAGGGAGGCCGGGAACCCGGAAGGGGTGGCCGCGTCCATGTGGTGACAGGCCGAGGGGTGGCCTAGCTGCTGGGGCCTCGCGTCCCCCCATCCGCCGCTCCTGTCTTCCAGGACTACAGCATCGACGAGGAGGCCGCCTTCCAGGCCGCACTGGCCCTGTCCCTCTCGGAGAACTGAAGGCGGCTGTGCAGCCTCCTGCCCGCGCCCGGGGTCCAGGACGCTCCCCTCAAGGGACAGGGCCGCGCTCGTCTCCCACACTGCACTGGGACATGCCTCGCCGGACCGCGGGAGGCCCCACTCCTGCCTGAGGAGAGCCTGCCCACGAGCCCCCGGGGCCGGAGGGACAGAGGCCGGCCGGCTGTCCCTTTGCTGGCAGAGCGGGGCCACCATGGTCCTGGCCGGCGTCGCTGGGCTATTCGGTGCTTTGGGCCAAGCAGCCGGCCTCGTGGGGCAGTGCCGGTCCCCGAGACGTAGAGCAGTCGGCCGCCTCCTCTAAGCCATGACGTCCTCCTCATGGGGAGAAGGGACCGGCCGGCGCCCTGAGCTGCACCGTGCAGGCCCCGCGCGGCCCAGCCACGCTTCCACCGTGCGCACTTGGTACTGGCTTTTGTGGTACTTAGAGATCCCGGCACTTTTTCTATATTATCCAGCGTGATAATCTTTTCAAGTTTTATAGAGCAAAGACAAAGCAGTTACTCTTCATATTGCAATATCTGTGTTTGACTAGGGATAATAGTATTTTTATGGAACATTTACAAAATTATATTTTTTAAAAAAACAATCAAAAGTAAATGTGGGATTGGCACGAGGAGGGGAGGAGGGACGGGGCGGCCCTGGGAGCCAGGGGGCCACGGCGTCTCGCCAGGACGTGAGGGGTGGGGACGGCCCTGGGCCGTCACTGTGTGTCCGGGCTCCCGTGGGTGGCTGGTTGCTCTGTGACAATAACTAGGAAGAAATCCCAGCTCCTGGCCGACGCAGGGGGCTGGGCGGGGCCTCCTCCCGCCTGGGGCTCTGGCTTTGGCCAGCGCTGTCCCCTGCCAAAGCTGACCATGTCCTTCCTCAGGCAGGGCCCGTCCCCCTGCAGCGGCAGAGCCCAGGGGGCCCAGGCAGGGGCCTGCTTGGCGGGGAGCGGGCCGGGAAGCACTTGTCAGCACTCTTGTTCTGTTCGTGGCATTAATTATTGCCATCTTTTAAAAACAGTTTAAATAAAACATTGCGGAGCACCTCCAGCAGCCCCGGCCAGCGGGTCTTATTCTACACCGGTGTGGAGGCGCCAGACGTCTCCTGGCCCCAGAATGTGACTGGTCTGGGGCTCGGACTCCTGGGTTGGTTTCTGGGCGTCGCGGCCATCACGCCAGCTGGGCGTGGCTCTCCGAGGGCCGCCATGGGGTCCCCTATTGCCCCCCAGTCTCCAAGGGCCTTTCCCAGGGCGGCGGTCATCGTAGGCAGGACACCGTTGCTGCCTCCCTGCCCTCTAGGACCCGGTGCTCGCGAAGGCAGGCGTCTGTCCTGCATAACGCCCTCCAAGGGGAGGGTCTCCTGAGCTTCAAGGCTGCAGGGTGGGCCAGCCAGGCAGGATCCCCACAGGCTGCACCTCGAGGGGAGACTGGTTATTTGGGCCGACATTCACCCCCTTGTGAAGCAGAGTTGACTTCACGCGCCTTCGTGGGGGGCCGCTGGCATCCCCACCTCCGCTAAAGACTGACCATCACCGACGCGGTGCCGTGTCTGGGAGGCCCTTGCGGGCAGTGCCGGGTCCTGGGGAACAGCAGAGCTGCCTGCCAGCCTGCCCCCCCGCCACCCCCCGTGGCCTTCCAGAAGGAGGCTCACAGTGCAGCATGCCCTGGGGGAGCCGTGCCACGTGGGCCTGCATCTGGTGCCCGATCAGCCGACAGCCCTCTCAGCGGGGCTGGTCCTGGCCTTTGTGCGCAACGCCTGGGCCCCGGCCAAGCCACATAACACTCCTAGGCGGCCCAGGGCTGCCCAGTGGAGCAGAGATGGGTGCTGAGCTCCAGGCCCAGGCCTGCCCCTCACCTGACGGCGGGTGATGCGGGGAACCGTCACGGGGCATGACCCTCGGTGCCCAGGAAGCCCTGCCTCGGCACGCCCTGACCTCGGCAGCACCCTCGGGAGATGGCGCCTGGGTTTCGCCACCAGTCACCGAGAGGCCCTGGCTGCTGCAGGGCCCGGGAGCCGCCACGCCCCAAGGGAAGCGGGGGCACCAGTGGTCTGCGTGGGCCGAGGGCGCGGACGTGGCTGGGACTGTCCCGGGCCATCGACCCTGCCTCCTGTGCCTGCCCGTCCAGGCAGAGAGCTCCTGGGGGTGAATCGGAAGGCGGGCTGCAGCCAAGGCCCCAGCTCCAGTGGGGTCTGGGACCACCACCTCGGGGCTGCGCTGGGACCGGCGTGGCACACACGGGCTCAGCGGGGCCTGGGCTGGGTGTCGGGGACGCTGGGCCCCGGCAGGACAGGGGAAGGAAAAACTGTCCCCAGGCACGGCCTCCTGACGCTTGCTCCTGCTGTTGATGGGAACTGACTTAGGGGGCAGGAGGGAGAGAAGGGTCCACCTGGTGGTCGCTGTCCTCGGCGATGTGGCCTGTGCTCACGCTACTGCACAGGGACAGCGGAGTGACAGGGGAGGGGGCAGGAACGTCGGAGGAGGGGCCCACCTCGCTCAGCCAGCCCCCAAACCCTGGTCGTTTGCCCCGACCATGAAGCCGAACGCGGCCCCCTCTGCCCCGTCTGGGCCCAGCCGCCTCCTGCTGTCCCGCTCCCAGGGGCTGAGGAAGCGAGGAGCCGAGAGCCACCACCCAGCGTCTGTCCTTCCTTGCGGCCCAGTGACGCGGCATCCAGGGGCATCTGCCCCAGGACAGCAGAGTGAACCCCAACAAACCGCGGGACCTCGAGGCGAACCAGATCTCAGCAGGCCCCGCGTGAGGGGTAAGGAGGCCGCGGCTGCAGCCCACGGCCCACAGTCCTCCTTGGTTTTCAGGGAAGCTGCGGGTGACGCCGACCGTCCGAAACCCACATTCCCAGTGGAGTTGTCCCAGAGAACTGGCGGCGGGACCCCTCCTGCGGCCGTCCTCCCTGCCGGGTGTCACCCACATGGAGGGCGCTCGAGCCACCCAGGCCTCTCCCGAGTCAGCACGGTGGCCGGGGCCAGAAGGGCCACCACTGCCTGCACGTGGCTGGGATGCCGACCCGCCGCTCTGGGCTGGAGTTCCGGAAGCCTGGGTCTCCCTTCCCCCACCCCGAGGTACGTGACGCTTGGACGGCGCAGCTCAAAGCCAGGCGGCCTCATCCCCGAGGAGCTGGGCTCCTGTGCCCCGGGGGGCCAGGGCCAGTCGGAGGCCCCAACTCGCAGCAACACGCTCTTGCGTTACGCAACAGCACGGGGAGCCTGAACCCCGCTTCCTAGAGAGCACCTCCAGGCCAGCCTGCTTCCGGGCAGACGCCCCGGGAACAGAGACCCCACGCCCAAGAAACTGCCATAATTCTTACCCCTCAGGAGCAGGGCGCAGAGCTCGCGGCGCCCCGGCGTCAGCAGGGCGTGGCCTGGACCCGCAGGTGTGCGCAGGGCGCCCGCCTCCAGCAAGGGGCCTCCCAGCCGCAGCTGGCTCAGGATGCCAGCTGCGTACGCTCCCCCGCAGGGACCCCTTGGGCACGTTTGGGTGGCGCCTTAGTGTTTGCCTGACTCAGGGCCACCTCGTCTTAGGTGCAACAGGCCCAGGGAACTAGGCGGAAGGTACCGCCCCTTGCCGGGATGCAGACTCAGAACACCTGCCCCATCTCCCAGCGAGAGGAGAACAGCGCGAGAGCCGCCGCGGTGCCCAGCTGGTGCTCCCACTTGGCAGCACCTGGACAACCCCGGAGACATCACGGGGACCCAGACACCTCTGCCCCAGGATCTGAGCACAAAACACCTGGGGAGAGCCAGCCCCAGTCAGATGACCTGGGACAGGGTTTTAGACGTTTTCCTGTTATTTCAGCGAGGCCGCCCTTGCCGCTGTCTTGAGTTCCCGGTGCTGCCACTGCCGCACCTTCTTCTGAAACTTCCTGGGTCGCCAGGGCCTGCCCTCTCTGCCCTCCCCAAACCTCCAGGGGCAAGAGGTTTGAATTCACTCACAGGCATCACAAAGTCCAAAGACACAGGAACAGCTACAGGCTAAGGAACGGTCTCTAGCAGTGGACTCGCAGAAGCAGGGGGGAGGATGTTTCTGCAGGGAGAGAGGGGACCCCGGGAAGCACCCACTCGCCCAGGGGGACTGCGGACGGCACCCGCGCAGCTTGGGCTGCAGAGAGGGGACGCCAGATGGCGCCAGCTCGGCCTGGGCAGCAGCGGGCAGGGCTGGCTGGAGGCAGGTCTGGCCCCTCAGGCGTGCCGCCCCCACCCCGGGCTCGGGCTCCTCTCCAGTGAAGAGTAGGAGGAAGACGGGCCTGGGGAGGCCAGGCCTGCGCCCCACTCACAGAATCTGCATGTGGAACCTCTGGAGAGTGAGGGGTGTGACGATGCCCGGGAGAGGGAGCAGCGCCCACGGGGTGGTCTTTTCCAGAACCTCAGCACACCTGGTGTGTGGTTCGAGGGGTCTGCAGTGACTTCTGCTTGGACAGCAGCCACCATGTTTCTGCTGGGCCTCATAGCAAACGGGGGCCGGCCTGCACCTGCGGCCACATCCCAACCCAGGACACTGTGACCACAGACTGGGAGACTCGAAACAACAGACATTCAGCCTCTCACGGTTCTGGGGGTGTGGCAGGGCTGGCTCCCTCCCAGGCCCTCCGGCTGCGGGCAGCCTCGGGTGTTCTTTGGGTTACGGGGGCATCGCTCCCACCCCGGTCACGGGGCTTCTCCCTGCAGCTCCCCGGAACTTCCCTCCATGCATGTCTATCTCTGTGTCCACATCCTCCCCCCCCACTTTTTTTTTAAAGAGTCTCACTCTGCTACCCAGGCTGGAGTGCAGTGGCGTCGTCATAGCTCACTGCAGCCTCCAACTCCTGAGCTCGAGCGATCCTCCTGCCTCGGCCTCCCAGAGCGCTGGGATTACAGGCGTGAGCCACCGCGCCCGGCCCACGTTTCCCTTTTTATAAGGACACTGGTCATCGGACTAGGCCCACCCTAATGACCTCATCTTGACTTGGTCATATGCAAAGACCTGTTTCCAAATACGGTGGCATGCACAGGTATGGGGTTGTGACTCCCAGCAGCTCTGGAGGGGGGGCACATTCAACCCATGACGCTTCCTGTCAGCTCTTTGTGACGCACTGCACGCCGACACGTAAGCAAGCTGGGTGTGAGCTGCAGTGGGCGCCACCTGCCAACGTCAGCGGGGCTCCTGGACTTGGGGCAGGTGCTGTCGGTCTCACTGCCCCTGTGACCTGCCCAGTGGTGCTTCTGGAGGAGGCTGGAGCCACCGCCTGGCACCGAGCTGCTAAGGCCGCCGGTGAGTTTGGCCCACTGCCCCGACCCGGCCCAGGGACAGAGGCGTCCTGCTGAACGTGGGGACGCAGCAGGCTTTAGCCCTGTGGGGCAGCTGCCAGCTCCTGCAGGCTGTGTCCATAGGTGCCTGCCCCGGCCCGGCCTCACAGTAAGGAGCCCAGGACCAGGGTGCCTGTGCTGAGTCCTGGGTGTGTTCCCAGGCAGGTCTCGGGCTCCCAGGGGCAAAGCCACCGTGGACACGCCTCCCTCCTGCCAGCTCCCCAGGGGCTGCCCTTTGTGCCCTCGTGGCAGGACGAGAGAAGCACAATATGCTCAGGGAGCCACACGTGTTTTTGGTGGGGACGTCCCTCCCTGTGACTGCATGGTGTGGCCCCTTGGTCTCTCCAGCAACCTGCCGGGAGTTAGGCGTCAGCTCCTTCATGGGACAGACAAGAAGCTCTGAGGACCGTTGCGGAGAGTGGGGTGCGGAGCTGGCCCCGGGCGCCAGCAGCCCACCCCCTGCAGGAAGGTGCTGTGGACCCAGAAGACCCCTCTCCTGGCAGCCCAGGGTTCACCCACGGGTGCACAACCTCCAAGTCACGTCGGAACAGCTCCTGCAACTTCCCACAAGCACACGCATGCGTACACACATGCACATACATGTGTGTGCACTTGCAAACACATGCTCAGGGTGCCTGGCCGCTCAGGCCCTGCCCCAGCCCCACAGACCCCTCCTCAGCACCCAGCATCGCTTTCTCTGGCATGACCTGGGGCATCTACTCTTGCCTGTCTCGTGTGTCTTACGTGCCGTGTGAAGGGACCATTGCAACAGGAAGGACACAGCAGAGGCAGCCGCCGGGCACTAGGAGGACAGCGCCACACCCTGACGGCCCGAGCCAGTGGCCAGAGCTGAGAACGTGGCGACATCTCCTCTCTCTCTGGACTCTTCACTTCTCCTCGCGTGGCCTGGGAGGGACGGTGCCTCCCGACTCACGGCCCCTGCTCAGGACCTGAGAGTAATAATGTCCGAACTCGCTTCCTACTGCAGGGGTGTGTTGAACTTGGGCCTTCGTCTGAAGGATTGGGGGCCGTCCAGGCTGGGTTTCCCTGGGGACGCTGGGGGACACAGGTCTGACTCCCAGCACCAGGGCGGTGGTCGGGCAGGCATCCCCTGGACACGGGCCAGACAAGAGCCACAAGGGCGTCTGCCGAAATAAGCAAAGTTCCCATGTGAGGGACCCTGGGCTCGGGTCACCAGGCGCTAGGCCGCCCGCCAGGTAAAGAAAGGCGCACCGGGAACCCAGGTCCGGCTCCCTCCACTGCCCGCTGGGGAGGCTGCCGGATGCTCTGCGCTGGACCCCGCGTAGCCGCGGCTCCCAAGGCAGCCATGTCCACCTCCCAGGCCCCCCACACCACATGGCGCGTGTCCACTGAGCCCCAGCTTCAGAACCACTGTCACCTCTGACATCAGGACCCGAAATGGTGAGAACAGCCACGGCAGGGGTGAGCTCCCTTCCCTGGGGTGACCAAGCCTGGCTGGATGCCGGGACTTCCAGCATCGGGTTTCAGTTTCCATGGCCCATGACCTTGACGGCCGTGGACTGCCCCAGGTTGCCATGTCCCAACCACACCTGCCTTCCTCAATGAACTGCCGGCCTGCGCCCCGGCGTGAGGGGTCGTCTGCCCCTGTGCTCGGACAGCCAAGACCCGGCTGCCAGGCTCACCTGGGGGGCCTTGTACCTTCACCCACGTGTCTCCACTCGAGAGCACAGATGGGCTCTAAGTGCCCCACAGCATGGGAGGCCACACTGCTGGGGTACGGAATCTTTTCTAGTGAGTTCAGCAAGCACCGTGGCCCCCACTGTGGGCCTGAGCACAGGCAGGTGTGCTGCAGAGAACAAGGGCTGGTTCCCGCCTGGCCCGGCTCTCGGGGCTGCAGTCCGACGGGGAGTGAGGGTTTCAAGGTTTGGGTCAGGAAACCCTTTCAGTAAAAACCTGAGCAGTCAGTGGTGACACAGCTATGTATGTGTCTATGATACATACATGCAGAGACACTTCCAAGCACTGCTGTCAAACATACTATTCCTTCTAAAAATACCAAAAAAAGTCCAGAAACATACACATAAGGATAAAAGTATCAACATCAGTGGAATTGTAACAGTTTCATCCCAGATCTGTAACCCAACCTGCAGCTCCTGGGGCGAGCGCCCCACTTGAAAACCACTCTTCGGGCATCTAGCAACGTAGATGGGACAGGCCGGGACCTGGTCACAGCACGTTGTCACCCCCAAGGTCCTAGCATCAAGGACAGAAAGCAAGGACCTTGGTCACCTGCAGGTCCTGCTCCGGTTCAGAGAGGGGCGGTTCCAGGAGACCTGGGAAGCGTGTTTCCCGCCGCAGGGTCATTCGGGTTTAATCCCAGAGCAGAGCGGTGTGATTGAGGACAGCGGACACGGAGCAGACGGAGACTGCCACCCTCCCTCCTGGGGGCTGCGCCCGTGGGGACGGGGCAGAGGCTGAGGTTTTCCTCTGTGGGTCCTGCTTGGGTGCAGCCCACAGAGGATGATTCTGCGAGGTTGGCAGGATCTCAGCTTTCCCTTCTGAGTAGTCGGCTGTGGCAGTGCTAGCGAGCAAAGACCCTAAATACCCCCACCCTACCCCAGAAGAGCTCGCAGAGGGCGATGGGCAGGTCTCCACAGGAGTGCTGGGGCATCCGGAGTGAGGATAACCTGAGCCTCCCGCTGGGATTAGGACGTGCACCTGCCCGGCTTGGTAGGCGGGTGGAGGGCTGGCATTATCCATGCCCGGGAGGGGGAGAAGGAAGAGAGGCTATAAATAGAAACCTCGCCAAGCCAGGAACAGGTGAATGAGCAGAAGGCAGCCCTGTGTCCCCTGACGTCCACACTCTCGGCAGGCCGATGCCAGGCTGTGACCGCAGGAGGGACATGTGCCTTCTTCCATGTGTGCCCCCACCTGTCCTTCCACACCCTCTCACCAAGCAACAGGCAGGCGCACACATGACACGTCTGACCGGCTGGAAGTGTGGGTTGGGGCCCCATCCCACCGCTTCCTGATGTCTCAGAGCCTTGGTTTTCTCATCTGCAAAATGAGGGTGACACTATGGTGAGGGTGACACTCATGCCCCACAAGGGGCCCCGGTGTGACAGACTCCACCTTCCCCACCAGCCCTCAGGTGGGGAGCACCAGGCTCTCAGGTAAAACCACTGCCAGCCACGGACACGCCCAGCGGCTGTGGAGTTGGGGCTGGCGGGCACTGTGCCCACCTGCTCAGACATGGCCACACCTGACCCCCTGAGTTGTTAAATGTCCACATCAAGGGGACCTAGACAGCAGACACAGCTGCACCCAGCTCTTTCGGCCTGGAGGATCCGAAAGGACAAGACGCGAGGGACAAGGCCGGCCCAGGCCACGGATGCAGGTGCTGCAGAGTGCTGGCGACTCTCCCCTTTATTAAACCACAGGTACCCACACGTCGCGATGCCTGCCAAATCCAGAATTCCAGGCTGTGTCCTTGGTCTCAACCAAACGAGCTTTCTGGAGGAATGGGGCAAATTCCTCCAGCATTGTCTCCAGGGAGGGAGCCCCCCTGGGGACTTCTGCCTGCCTAGCAAGGCCACTCTCCCAGGCGCTGGCCTGTCCCAGGGCACTGACCCCGTGGTCACCACTGTGGCCGGCCAGGTGCGTCAGCTTTGGACTTTTGGGGCTTGTGCTGGTCAATCCTACGTGGGCTCTCCCAGGGCGGCCCCGCGGACTCGCCCACGCGCGCGGCCTGGCGCCCAGCTCGGTGTACGCCGGCCTGAACTCTGCCCTTTCGCCCACGACGCGTGGGCGGCCAGGCCCAAAGGGTCAGTGTGTGACTCGGTCGCGCGCGCCAAGCAGTCCCGTGGGGAGGACACACGGCCACGCGCTCCCCGCCCCGCCCGCGCACCTGTCCTGGGCGTGGCGCCTGCGGCCCCGCCCTCCCGCGGCCCCGCCCCGCCCGCGCCGCGCGCTGATTGGCGGAGGAGGCGCGCTATGCTAATGACCGGCCCCTGCCCGCACCTGCCCCGCGCGCTGCCCGCGGGCGCCACAGCCGCGACCCGCTCGCCGCGCAGACCCGCCCGGAGGGGACCATGCCGCGCTCCTTCCTGGTGAAGACGCACCCCAGCCACAGGGCCCCCGACTACGGGCAGCTGGAGACGCAGAGAGGTAGGGGCTGCCCGGCTCCGGAGCCCCCCGGGGCGGGAGGACACCTGTCCCAGGTGGAAGGAGCCAGTTCGCCCGCACAGTTGGGGCCGCGGCGCACCTCCTGGGCCCACCAGCGCCGCCGCCTCTTCAGGGGACTCACCCCGCCTCTGACAGAGGGCGGGACTCTGTCCCCACTTAGAGAAGTTTCCCAGGCCCAGTGTCCCTGGAGCTCACCCCTGAAGACCCGCCGCCGGCCTCCCCACTGCAGCCCCGGCAAGGGACCGGAGTCGGCTTCCCGCAGCAGGGGGTTCGGGAGGGGTGGCCACCTGAGGCTGCCCGGAGCATCCCGGCTGGGCTGGTGAGCACAGGAGCTGAGAGGCTGACCCCTGGGCGCTTTCTACCTGCCTTCAGCGGAACCTCCAGCGCCTCCATCTCCCCTCCCCCCAGAAACTCTCCTGCCCACCCCAGCGGGCTTGCCCAGGCAGGCGGGCAAAGGGCTGCTGGTTCCCACCGCCTGCGGGGGAAGAGGACTGTGCCCCCAGAGGACAGCCTGCCTACTGCGGCCTGGGCAGTCCTGCCTAGCTCAGCAGCTTCCTGGGACAAGACCCACCGGGAGATGTTCACCCATCCCTGCTCAGCACTGGGAGGGGTGGGATCCCACCTGGACCAACACCAGGAGCCCAGGCGGCCACTAGGCTGTGCCGTCTAGGACTGTGATTTCCAAATGTGTGTTTCGAAACCAATTTAATCACCACCAGAAACTATCAGAGTGTGGCGCTCACAGCCAAGGGCAATTCTGTTGCTGTTACGTAGCTATAGACACATAGATATGATGGGAAATTGAATTCACATGGGTCATAGTTTTAAGTTGAAAAACAATGGTTTTAGGGTCCAGTCATCCATCATGTGCACATCCGGGCAGCTGGGCCTGGAGGGCAGCTGTCAGAGGGCAGCCTTGCCACTCTCCTCACTATGGCCCCAGCTGCTGGGCTTTCTGAGAGCCAGAAGGCTCTGGTGACCCTCTTCCTGCCAGGGTGTTACCCCAGGATGGGCCTGAGGTGCTGGGGGTTGGGCCCCCCACTGCCTCCTGATGGCTCCCAGGGAACCCTGGACGACAGAAAGGTGCTTAGAAGTCTCCTCCCCCCGGGGATCCAGGCTGCAGAATGAGTACAAAGCACGCACACCATAGAGAACAGGGGAAGCATTTACAACACTGAGGGGACACGTGGCCCGTGGCCCCTGGCGTGGCTCTCTCCCCTGCCACACCGCAGAGAGGGCTCCGTGGCAAAGCCAGGACCAGGGACGGAGCTGAGTCTTACAGACAGATACTTTAAAAAGGCGATTTTCTCCCGTAGAGAGGCCCCAGGAAAGCTGGGTGGGGTGGGGGCTGGGTTCCCTGGGCGCCCCCAGGGCTGTCTTTCCAGAACTTTCTCGGACTTTGTCTCTTAACCTGTCACTGCCATTCCCTGCACCCCAGAGGTGGACAGAAAGCTGATGTGCCGATTCTATAATTAGAAAACCAGGTGGGAGAAGGCAAGGCCAGGAGAGCGTGGAGGGAGGGACTTTCCCCGATTTTCTTACTGCTCCACATCCGCGCCAGCACTTGCTATTGTCTGGGTTTTTTGTTTTTTGTTTTTAATTCTAGCCAGCCCAGTGGGTCTGAAGCGATATCTCATTACACTCTGATTTGCGTTCCCTGACGGCTAATAGCGCTGAGCCTCTCTTTGTGCCTGTAATGGCCATTTATTTATCTTCTATCTGTTCGAATCCCTTGCCCACCTTTTTAATTGTGGTATTTGATTTTTATCGTTGAGTTGCAAACTTCTTTATGTATTCTGGACAGTAGTTCCTGATCAGATATCTGATTTGCAAATACTTTCTCCTATTCCCTGGGCTGTCTTTCTCTATCCAAAGTCTTTCCATGGAGGTAGAAACAGGACCAGAGATTTATTTCAACTTATACGGGATGAGAAATGGATTGAAAGCTGTTTAGAGATTTGGGCCTTGGGGAGAGGCAGAATTTAACCTCCACCTGCAGACTAACCTGTTTATTTGGGGGCTACGCCATTATCCGGAGCAAACGTCGTGTGCCAGCCCACAAACGCAGGAGTCCCAGCCCCTAGGGCAAGCCAAGCCCAGGGCTAAGTCTGACGCCACCTAAGAGAGCAATAGGCAGGGAACCCCACACCCCACAGCTGGGCTGTGTGCTGCCCAGTGGCCTGGAGGCTTGTGAGCCACGTCGTTATCCACGAAGGAGACGCTGAGGGTGACTGTCAGGTGACTGGAACCTGATTAGTTCCCAGGGCAGGGGGCTGGCTTCACACACGGCAGCGCCTCGCTGCCCAGCGTCTGACCTGACGCTGCTGCGTGGGAGCCTGGGGGTGCTGGCTTGGGCTGGCGCCCGCAATCCACAGATGAGGCAGGCCGGTCAGAGGGCCTGGAACAGGGCATGGAGGGCAGGTCCCTCTGCCCCACGGAGGCCTGTTTTATGTTACTGGACAAGAGGGGTCCCATGAGATAGTGCTCTTTGTTTTTGGAGAGGAACTGAGATTCACTCTGTAGACCACGAGGTCTTGTTCTAGGTGTGTTACTCGACCCCTGGCTTTGGCTGTCACCTCCCTGCCGGCACCTCTGTCTCCCCGATGAGACGGGTCTGAACACGGGTGCCTCGAGGCGCACCTGCCTACCATGGTGCTGCCAGCTCGGAGAGACGCATGAGCGGGAGTTTGAAAACACAAAGCGCTGGGGACACCCCCTCACCTTCACACTTTCTCTCTCCTCTGCCCTCCCAGAGCTCAGCGGCGCCTGCTCTGCCTGCGGGGGGAAGGTGGTGCCCCTCCCCCCGGACAAGGAGGCCCCTCCCGCACCCTGCGACCTTCCCCGGCCCTGGGACTGCACCGCCACCATCGCCCGCATCTCCCTGCCCCTCCTGCCGTGGCACGAGAGTACTCTGGGGGCCTCTGTGCCAGACCCCCTGGAAATCAGCTGGGCAGACCCTCGGGCTGGCCGGGCCCCCAGTGTACCCCTCAAAGACAGCCTGAACCACCTCAACCTGCCCCCACTGCTGGCGCTGCCCACGAGGTGGCCCCCGCTCCTGGGCCCAGATGGGGACCGGGCTCCCGAAAAACTGCTCGGGGCTGAGAGGACGCCGCGAGCCCCAGGCGGCTTCGAGTGCTCCGACTGCCGCAAGCCGTACCACACGCCGGCCGGCCTGGCCCGGCACCGGCAGCTGCATTGCCACCTGCAGGCCGGGCGCGTCTTCTCCTGCAAGCACTGCGACAAGGAGTACGGCAGCCTAGGCGCCCTCAAGATGCACATCCGCACCCACACGCTGCCCTGCGTGTGCAAGATCTGCGGCAAGGCCTTCTCCAGGCCCTGGCTGCTGCAGGGCCACATCCGGACCCACACAGGTGGGCGAGGGGTCTGGGGGGCGGGAGGAGGGGTGACTTGACGAGCACAGGACGATGTCCACACACAGCCCCTGCTTCCTGGCACACCCGTCCCCGGGGCTGCCATACGAAGTCCCACAGACCGGGGGGTCCAAACCATAGCGGTCTCTCCTCTCAGTCCTGGAGGCCAGGATCCGAAATGCAGGTGCCGGCAGGCCCCGGCACCTCTGAGCACTCTAGGGAGGATCCTTCCTGCCTCTGCCAGCTCCCTTCTCCGCCGATGTCCTCCCGAGCCCATCCCGACCCCCCGTGTCTGTGTCCAAATCCCCTTCCGGTTATAAGGACCCCAATGTGAGCCAAACTGAATTACAACCCACCCTAATGGCCTCATCTTCACTTGATCATAGTTGCAAAGACCCTATTTCCAAATAAGGCCATGGTTGCAGGTACAGGGATCGGGCATGGACGTGTCTCTGGGGAGGCACTGGGCAAAGCACAGGACGTGCCGGGCCTCGGCGGGGACTGTTTGTCACCTTCCACGGCCTCCAGGACCCCAGCAGCAGGGGGGAGCACGGTGGGGCCCACGGCCTGGCTAAAGATTTGGGGAAATAGGCGGCCGCGGCTGTGGGAGAGGGGCTGGCAGGCCGAGGGACGCAGGGGACACTGCAGAGGGAGACAAGGAGGACAGAGGAACGGGGGGAGGGAGGGACTGGCTGTGAGGAAGGCCCCCCCCACCCAGGCTGCCTCGTCACCCCTGGGTGCAAAGAGTGGAAACCCGGGAGGGGCCTGCGCCCCGGGGGAGACCCTGGCTCCATCTCAGGCCCAGCGGTTGAGGCGCTTTGGTAACTGAGGCCCCCGACCCCAGTCCCGGCTTAGACTGGATCATCTGAGTCAGGCCTGGGGGGTCCGGAGGGGAGGCGTTTTCCAGGCCCCGGGACATCCCGTCTGGTTTTCCTCAACGCTTTGTTGAGGACACCCCTGGAACCCTCCTTTCCCTTTCCAGATCCTTCTCTGGAGGCCCCTGGGCCCACACCCCGGCCCTAGCCCATCAGGCTTGGTCCTCGCAGCCCGAGTGTGGGGAACTGGCAGGAGCCGGGCCTGGCCGGAGCGTGCAGGTGTCCAGCCGGCAGGGACGCAGGCGCTCTGGGCCCCTTGGGCACTCTCAGGGCTCTGGGGGGCTGTCACCCATCCCTTTACACACGTCAGGGTCCTGGGGCCGAGGTCCCAACAGAAGGACTTTGCCCAGATCCCCGTTGCCCTGACAAGGTGCCTCCTAAACGCCACGTCCTCGAGGGCTTCAGCTCCGCCCTCAACTTGGCCTGTGCCAGCGCCGCCCTCACACTCGCCTGGCAGCGGCCGGGAGCAGCACCAGAGGCCCCGGTGACTCCCCCATCCAGATCCCAGCAGCCGAGGCCCCGGGGGCTCTAGCAGAGACAGTGACGGATCTGGCACAGTGGCCGTCTTTGCTCTTGGGAAAGGCTTCTGATGGCACCATCTTGCCCAGGGATGGCACGCCGCCAGTCCCCAGGCAGTTTGACTTCGGGCGCTTGGGCCGTGCGTGAGCATTGGGACAGGGAGGAAGGGGCTACTCATGGACGTACAGGGCACCTCGACCTTCGGGCTGCCTGCCGGGGTCTTGCTCGGGCCTGTCCGACGCCCACAGGTGATTCAGCCGGGCCCCCCCGTGTGCCCCCGGCAGGTGAGAAGCCCTACGCCTGCCCCCACTGCAGCAGGGCCTTCGCCGACCGCTCCAACCTGCGGGCGCACCTGCAGACGCACTCGGACACCAAGAAGTACCAGTGCCAGGGCTGCGCCAGAACCTTCTCCCGCATGTCCCTCTTGGTGCGGCACGAGGAGTCCGGCTGCTGTGCCGGCCCCTGAGAGGCAGCGTGGCTGGTGCAGGTAGGACGGAGGGGACCTTCCCCGGGAGCCAGAGGCTGGGGTCCCTCCTCTCGGCAGCCCTGTGTGGCCTGGCGCGCCCAGAGGAGCCCAGCCTCACACTTGGTGCTTCTCCCCCTCCTGTGTCCTTCAGAACCCAAGAAGTCCCTCGGGGCCGTCAGGAGGGAGGGCTCGCATGCAGACCCCCGCCTGCTGAGCCCCGTTTCGGAGGAGACTCTGCGGGGAAGACGTTCCTCAAACCGAGAACAGAGTTCTGTTTCGACTTGGTCTGGTGCCTGGTTCTCTGCTCCCGAGAGTTGAAGACTGTGGCAAGATGTCACTGGCGCTGGACATTCCCTGCCCCTGAGCCGACTCCGGGCCACCTGGCCCCTTCGCACCTCGAGATGGACATGCTGACGTGCGGTGAGCACGTCCGTGTCCTCTGTCCTCAGAGGTACAACTACCTCTCGGCCAGCCCGCACCTGCCCTCGGTGCGGGGTCTGGGACACGCTGTCCTGTGTCACGCGTGTGCACCCCTCACTGGACTCTCCCTACCAAGCAACAGGACGGGGACAGCCAGCAGCTGGGGGATGAGGCCAGGCCCGCCGGATCCGAGCCTCCCTCAGTGAGAGGCCCACCGCTGGCCCCCTGTAGTTGGGCCTCGTCCCCCCAGACCCGGGGGTGGGCGCTCGCTGGCTCCCAGGGAAACGTGTGCGGCGATAAAGTGTTTCCACGCTCCTGCCTGTCGTGTCCTTTGGCGTTCTGAGTCCTGCTCCCTCCCCGGGCTCCACGGAGGAGGCTGAACTCTGAGAAACTGCCCAGAGGCAGCCGATTCTAGGATGGTCTGGGCCCAGCCAGAGCAGGCTGAAGACACAGTCTGGGCCTGGCAGTGTGAGAAACTCTTCTGGGGTTGGGGATGCCACAGCCAGGTGAGCAGGGGCCTCTGGGAGGAGCGAGGCCTGCAGGGGAGCAGCTCGGGGGGCAGGAGAGCTGCAGCCCCCGCGGGTTTGCGGAGAGGCAAGGCCGAGACAGGGAGGTGCGCTGCACAGCCGGTAGTAGGCGCCGCCTCCCCTCGCCCTGAGCAGACAGAATCCCGCGCTCGCTCTGCACTGCTGCCTGTCCCCAATGCTGTCCCCACCGCATCCTCCATGCGCCACAGCACCGTGCACCCGAGCACGTGCCTAGCCCTGCGGCCTGTCCGCCAAGATGCGCTGCCTGAGCCCCCTTAGCTGCCTGCACTTGACCCCCACCTGGCGTCCTGCCCCCGTGGCCCCCCTGGGCAGTGTCCTCCCCTTTGGCCACCTGCTGGGCTGGGCCTCCTTTCCCCTTGTCCAGCTCAACCCTGGAGGGCGACGCTCGGGATGTAGCAGGGAGGCCTGTCGGAGTCCGATGGAGTCCGACGGAGCCCCTGACACCTCCAAAGACAGGGATGGCGGCGGGAGGGAGGCTTCGGGGGGGACACCTGCTCCTCTCGGGAGGGTGGCCCGTCAGCAGCTGCACTTGTGACCCCGGCCAAGGGACGTGAGTTAGGACCTTCGCCCTGGGCCTGGCACGGAGCCGCCCGGCAGTGGCGAGGGCTCCCCTCTCCCCACTGAGCTGCCCGGAGCCTGCGAGCTCCTGTCTGGAGGAGAACGTTCAGGAACACAAACAGGCGCCTTGTTCCCAGCCCCGCACGACACAGGCCCGGCCTGGGGCGCCCCACCTGCAGACTCGGCCTGGCCAACACCGACATGTCTGCGTGACGGACCTCGGGGCGTCCAGAGGAAACTTGAGCTTGGGCTCCTCTGGACCAAGGGTGACCTTTAAAAGTAGACCACCCAGGAGACGCCGTGTGAGCTAGCGGAGCGACTACGCCCTCTGAGACCAGCCACGCTCACGTTCCCTGCCCCTGGCCATCCCTCGAGGGAGGCGTGGACCAGGCTGGGGGCCCGCGTGGCCGGGCGCGAGTTTGCTGGGGCCACAGTGACGAAGGACCCCAGCCTGGGCAGCTTAAGCAACAGGGAGTTCTCCTCCCGCAGTCCTGGCGTCCCGAAGTCCCAGCTCAAGGCCAGGCGGGGCTGGCTTCTTCGGCGGCTGTGCGGGAGAACCGCCTCCGGCCCCTGGTGGCCCGGGAGTTGCTGGCGGTCCTCGGCGCTCCTTAGCCTGAGGAAGCATCACCCGACCTCTGCCCCTGTCCTCGCGTGGCGTTCTCCCTGCGTGTGTCTCTGTCCCTCTTCCTACGGGGACACCAGTCATGTTGGACGGAGCCCCCCCTACTCCAGCGTGGCCTCGTCTTCACCACCGTGTCTGCAAAGACCGTTTCACACTCAGGTCCTGGAGTTTGGACCCGGGCTACGGATATTGGGGGTAGGGGCCGTGATTCAACCCAAAGTCAGTGAGGACACCCGGGTGTGCCAAGAGCTACGTCGCCAGGCCCTCGTGCTCGGAGCTCGGGAGGAGAATCTAATCTCCCTTCCCCTCAGTCTACACAGGACCACGGGGGACGGTCGATTCTAATGACGGGAGAGTCACCTACGGCAGGAGCCACGGCCGGTTCCCCAACCCCATCTCCTCTCCCTCCCTGTCCGGGCCAGCGCCTGGGCCTTGGTGGCCGTGAGAACAGCCCCTGCCCTCCCAGGGGACCCTCGCGTCTCGCGAGCGCCCGGCCTCCTCGCCAGGCGGGTCGGCAGCCTGGGGCCGAGGGTCTCTCGAGCCCGCGGGAGGCAGGAGTCCAGCCGACACTCACATTTCGAGTCTGGGCGTCTCGCAGGAGGGCTCTTTTTTTTTTTTTTTCTTTTAAAATAGCATCCAGATGCCTAAAGGAGCTATATTGTAAATTGTGTTCTATTTCTGGGCCCCCGTATCTAAAAGAGGCAATTGCACCTGTTGGGTACGAAGGGAGGGAATTTCACAGGCCGAAAATAAAGCCGAATGTTTTCCCTGTGTCCCGGCCCATGGAAAATGCGCTTGTATTTATATCTGGGTGGCGGAGGGAGGACTGGCAGGGACCGTAGAGGAAACGGACACCTGCCGGGGACGGGTGTGAGACGAGGAGGGGACACTTTCACTGGCGTCGGCAAGGCTGGAGTCAGGCCGCGGTGAGGCCGCCAGCTCCCACGTGGGTGGGACGCCCCGTGACGTTGGCTTTGCCTTTCTGCCCGGCTTTTCCTGACTGTTGGCAAGTTGACCTGGGATGCTCGCTTAAAACTTGGATTTCTAGAGTCCTTTCCCAATACCCACAGGACGAGAGCCGATTACAGCCGTGCCTGGGCGAGGTGGCCTGGCCGGCTCTTTCTCTGGGGACGGCTGTGTGGCCTTCTTTTTCCTACCCAAATCTTTACTTATCACGTCTCCACTCTCCTCCCTACAGAAGGCCTTTCCGGCACACACTCCCAGGGTGCCGCCTGAGCTCCTCTCCCAGGTGGGAGCGGGGCGGGGAGGGACCAGGGGCCCCAGGACCTGAGTGAGTTGGAAGCAGGTGTTTATGTCTGGGTGACAGCAGAAGCCTAAGAAATCAACGAGGTCGGAAAAATAATGTCACAAGCTCTATACGGTGGGGACTGCGTCTTCTCCATAGCAGGAAAAGTCCTTCAACGCCTCCCGGGCTGGCACTTGGCAGGCTCGGCGGGAAGAGGACTTAGAGGGGCCCCGTGAGCCACTGGCTGTTCTGACTCACGGGGCAAAGCAAAGAGAACGCCTGCCCTCCTGGAGACAGGTGTGGGGGACAGCGGGCCTCGGGGTGACCCAGTCCCTCTGCCCGCCCCCATGGAAAGGAACCTGACTGCTGAAAGCAGAAGAGGCGCTAAAGCTCCTGCCTTTGCTTCCAGAGGATCTATAAATATCATTTTGGCCCAGAATATTCTGGGGTTCTCTAGGTGTTTGAAAATAGCCCACTTGTTACTATCTATACCCGGAGGACCCACTCCCGGCCTCCACTTGCATGGCTAAGTATAGCTGCTGGCAGAGCTCAATGGAACAGAAGTTTCCAGGCCTGCATCACCTTGTGGATGGCAGAACATTCTGGGGAGAGCACCTCGGCTGCCAAGGATCGGAGGAGCTCGGAGAGCAGCTAGAACCGACACGGCCGCCCCTTCCTCTCCCTCCGTGAGCCGGACGGGTCTGTGGGACTCTTGGTAAACGAGGGGGGTCTTGCAGGTCGAGGAGGAAGGTGCCCGTGCCGGCCTGCTGTTCACGGGGCCACGGTTTTTCGACCATAAAAGCGGAATCCTGCTAACCTCCATGTCAGAATTCAAGGGAACATCACGTAAACGTAACATAAAAAGGAAAGATCCTCAGGACAGCTAAAATAAATTAGAATCGCCAACGTTAGGAAACCCTCAAGCTTTAACTCCTCTTACAATCTCTGCCCACATCTGGACGTCTGAGCTCTGACTGCAGTTTCACCCCTGCCCGGCCCACGGGGCTGCCGGGAGCTGCTCTGGCTGCCGCTCGGGGCTCTGGGTGGGGCTGTACCCACTGGTCAGTGCGGAGCAAGCGGTGGGAGGGCCGAGGGATCGGGGGTGCACCACCTCCGGGAGTTCCGAGGGAAAGCCCGGGCCACCTGCCCTTGGGGTGTCACCAGCCCTGCAGCCCCCAGTCCTCCCCAGGGACCCCCAGCTCAAGGCCAAGTCTGGGACAGGCGCCGCCCCCCGACACCCTTCTTCCCGCAGCTCTCTCCTGTCTGGACCTCTGACTCTCGTTCTCCGTGTAAGATTGGCCTGTGGCTCAACCCCAGGGAAGACCCAGAGTCCCTTCGGTTTCATTTATCCAGCCCCAAATACCAGCCCGTCCCCTCCCCGGGGGGCAGACACCTTCAGAAGCGGCGGGGAAGGGGCAGCAGAGAGCGTGGGTGTCTCACCCGCATTGTGGCCTTTTGGAATTCAGCTGTTTTCAATTGGCCAAAAAGAGAGGCTGAGACAGAGGACAGTCGGTGGGGACCCATCCTGCCACCTCCCGCTCACGGAGCGTCCACTCCGCGGCACCCTAGACGAGGTGCGACTGGTCCCCACCGGGGGGCTCTGGAC